CCCAGCCAGCCATGCTGGCTGGGGAATTCTGGGAATTGAAGTCCACGCATCTTAAAGTTGCCGAAGTTGAGAAACACTGTTCTAGTCCGTAAAATGTCATTAGTCCTTTTGTTCTCTTAAGGTCCCATGAAGCATTAAACAACACGATATGTACAATGAACATCCTGCTGGGAACTGTTACCATGTGAGAACATCCTATTTTCTCTAGATCCAGCCCTGAAAAATTAAGTTAAAGTGCCACTGATTACAGGAAATCATACACCACTAACTAATCTTATCTGCTAGACCCAGTGACCTAATTCCAAATGTTTAGATGTGTCCTTGAAAAAAAAACAGTTGGTAAAGACAGCACTTTCCTTGTTATCGATAAAACTTTGGCTTCAATCAACCCTTGTTGCTACATTTGGTAAGAATGATTCTGCTCTCATTAGAGCATCCGGCAGGATAATTTTGCCCATAATATGTAAGGTAAAGTCATCTTTCTGTCTCCAGTCAGAGGGCTGAACCTTCTTTTGAAGACTGGAGGGGAAGTATTGCTTCATTCATGATGCTTCAGACGGTATTTTCAATTATGCTGGCCAAGATTAGTTTGGTCTCATTTCTGCTCGTATTGATTTCCTCACAAATGCTTCCTCTTAAAACTACTGTACAGAATTTCTAATAAAAGCTTGGACTGATTTGAAGCATTTGGCAGACTTCAGCATTCTGAGTCGATTCTGATCAGCTCAAAGTTGCAGCATAGAACAGAAGCCACTTGGGGGCCCTTCTCTCCATCAATGGGTAGAGGGGACTGGGGTTTCACCTAATGAATCCTAGATTTCCAACTACTTGCTATTCCTCAGGGCAGCCCTGATGGTGCTGCCTTACAAGGCTTTTAGTGAGCAATTACCTTACCTAATCCATAAAATTTCATGGGGAATGCAGAAAATATTATATAATCCTCCTGTATTTTCTAGCTTCTTCCACCATTTTTTTTCTTACCAGAGCAAATCTATTTAGGAAAATAAGATGGAACAGTTGCACACTCCTCATCAGTGTTTGGAGCCACTGGCCCCCCCGCTTCACTGACTGCTTATTGTACCTTACCCACTGTAACCCTAGATCAGTGTTTTTCAACAACGGCAACTTTAAGTTGCATGGACTTCAACTCCCAGAATTTCCCAGCCAGTTTGAAAAACACTGATCTAGATGATAACTGCAGAATGCTAACATTCATTTTTAATTAATGAACTAATGAACTAATTTTTTTAAAGGCCAAAATCTCAGCAATGCTTGATATTCTCACACGGGGATAGGTAAAATATTATGAGATTTGGCAATTTCACTCAGTGTGAATAATTTTTCATTTTCATTGTTTCATACTCAGTGGCACCAGAACAAGTTGCCCACCCGTTATAAGTCCTCTGCACTACATCTGGGTCTCTCTTGCAAAAGCTTACCTGGTTTGGTGACCAGAAGAAGCTGGGGAATGACACCAGAGGGCACTTGTCCCTCACTGAGTGCACCCACAATCACGGTAGCATCATAGCAGCCTGCAGAGGAGAAGATGAACAGTTGGTGTCAAGGAAGGAGATAGGCAGCTTTTCCTAGAAACCTCCATGCCAACACACCCCAGCTTCTTCCCTTTCTCTAACCCAGTGTTTCTCAACCTTAGCAACTTTTAAGATATGTGGACTTCAAGTCCCAGAATTCCCCATGCTGGCTGGGGAATTCTGGGAGTTGAGGTCCACATATCTTAAAAGTTGCTAAGGTTGAGAAACACTGCTCTAACCTATTCAGTCCATTGCTGAGGACAAACTGTTCCCATTGTTACCTTCAGGAGCTGGTAAGGCTTCCTGGCCTAGCAAGCACAACTTCAGATCCTCGTACAGTCCTTTGTGCCGTGCATGTTCCAACATCCCTTGGCTGCCATCCAGGCCGTGGACATGGCGAAAACCTTTTGCCTGAAGCTTAGAACACATAGCATAAGTCACAGGACCGCTGCAAGAAAGACAGTCCCTGGTTTCCAACTGCTAAATGGAACTTTGCAAGCCAAACAGGGCCTGCGCAAGACAGACTCCGTAGGGGGACCATCAGTGGCAGTGCCACACCTGCCACCCTCGTCATCCATGGAGTGTGCACAAATGATGAAACGGGTATGATGATGTCACAGTGCATCGTTATGTATTTGGATGCAATGCTGTACTGCCTGTATGGAAAGGCAAACCTGGGTTACGACATCATGACACATTTCATCATTTTGGGATCCCTGCAGTTATCTGTGGGCACCATTGTCTGCCACTGTCACTTCAGGTGCTTATGGCAGGAAACAGGCTGCTATGCAGCATTTCAGCAATGGGTCAGCTCAACTGAGTGGCTGACTTTTGTGCATGAGCATACATAATTGAGTCATTTGCATGATGACGTCACAGTGTACGTGTCGCCATTTGGATGTCATTGTGGCTTGTAAGAGATGACTATGTTCTGATGAGATCAAAACAGTGCTCTCAATTCATCCCGTTATTTTAAAACTATTTACCAAAACCAAGGCAGGCTGAAACAGTCTTGGAAGAGGCATTCTCTTCTTTATCTGTGTCACACAGGAGGGAAGGCATCTTCTAAGATGGTGCCTCCAATGAAACAAGAATGCTGTCTGACAAAGTAAACCTACCTCATTCCTACTTATTAATAAATTATTGATATTAATATCACAATTATCTTCTAATTAAATAAATCCTGGCATTGATAAATGAGTAATTGATTACATTTGTCTATGAGTAAAGCACCAAGTGTTGGAAAGCATTCCTTCCATGAAAGGGAGAACACCTTTTAAGAAAGTTTATTCTTCCCCCAACATTATGTTCTCTAGATGTTCTGAACTACCTCATCCACCCTCCACAGCATATCCAGGCATCTCTTGGAAACCACAATGACAGCAAAACGATGACATCACGCCAGTGACAGAAATTACATCATTGTATCGTTCACACAGTGATATCATGACATGCATTATGCTACCTCTCCCTACATACCCTCACGGTTAACAGATGATGATGCTCCTGGTTGTAGGCCAAGGCTTCTGCTGGGCCCCAAATTGGTGAAAACGTCTTAACGTTTTGCCTGCCACATGCCAATTCTGTATTAGCACCAGCCTTAAAATCCTTTTCACGACAGTGCTGGGGACAGCAACCTTCTCATTAGCCTTATTTTCAAGGGGGGGAAAGCAAACGCGTAGGGTGCCCCAAATGGCAGTGGCACGAAGCAAAAATGGGGCTGAGGAACTGCATGTGGTCTATAGGCCAGCATTAATAGCTCCCCTCTGGGATAGGTTTCCAAATGACAGCAGAGGGACAATGATAAGATGATAGGTCCCAAACCTCGGTGGAGACCAGCCCAAGGTCTCTGGCTGAAGCACGACTCAGACCTCAGTTACCTCCTGGGCCACAAGTCCTGTGCCACAGGCCACGTCCAGCACTAGCGCATCCTCAAGCGAACCCTGGAACATGGAGGCCAGGAAAGCAGCAGCCAGACTTGGAGCTTGGTATTGCAATACCACCACATCCTAGAAGAGAGAGGTGTCCTAGTCACGCCGAGAAGGGGGGGAGTTCCAAGGTTTGCCTGTTTATCTATTAATGAGTAGTTAAAATAATTGCATCTAATAAAACAGGGTATCAGCTTCAGAAAGTAAAACCAAGATTTGCTGAAGGCCATCGGTAGATCTTATGACTGTGCAAGGAGTTAAACTTTGTCCTTTCCTATCCAAGCAGAACATGTTGCAGTTTTGCTTCGTGGCTCCGCTCCAGATGTGCCAAACCAGAGTCTTGTTTCTCCAAGGCCCAGAGAGCCTTGTCTGGGAAGATAACCTGAGCCTAAGCTGGACCAGGCTTGGTTAGTACTGGTTGAGAGGCCATGAAGAAATCTCTGAGCCAGTGTTCCTCAACCTTGCCAACTTTAAGATATGTGGACATCAACTCCCAGAATTCCCCAGCCA